AAAAAATATTCAGCTCACTAATTCACTTATACTTAACACCTTTACCGGACCATTATTTAGTGACAAAGCATCTTTTTTTTCTTCAAAAACCCAAATACCTTTCACTCTGGGTGACGTCGTCCAAACCACAGTCAGCTGGCACACAGCGGATAATAAATGCGATATTTACTCTATGGGGGCCGCCATCTTGAATACGGCATGAAATTAAATAAAGAATTAAATTCAAATATTCAATAATGAACTCCAGTAGACTTGCCTCATTATTTTGAAAATACACTCAGAATGGGTGAACTTATTACCCACTCATATGTCAGATCATGCCAAGTGTGTCAGATTTCTAATAATCATGAACGCAAGTGTATTCATTGGAGAAAATCACTGTCATGTTCAGTCCCGCACCACCGATACGTCACGGAGGCGTGGCTTTATTGTTACGCAAACGCATCAACGGTGGATAATCCTCTAACAAACATTACTATCTTACTTATTTATCTTATGTATTGTTATGGGTGTTTACAAACGAGCCAATACTTCAAGTGTCTCTTTTTCGGTTGAAAACTACTATCATGGCATGGAGGTAAAAAGAGATTTTACCTCCATGGTAAAGGTAAATGGTACTCGCTTCCTCGTCGTCGTCTGATATATCAGATATTAGATTCGCAATCGGTAAAATAGTTGAATATCTTTCATGTAGAAATTCTGAATCATAAGCGGATGGTCAGCATCATCACTGCTTTCGAACCACTCACACTATGACCCGGCGTTACTGAGTTTCGGTTTCATAATTTTGTACAGTTGCATGTTAGTTTCAACATTATGTTAATATCAAGTTTGTATTAGCTTTTACTGGTAAAAGTTCTTCATTGATTTGTTTTTATATATTTTACATTAATATACAAATGTACTAATTACGTGTAATTTATGCGCTGTGTTTCTTTTGTTTATATTTCCAAATCGTAATGTGATTCAAGTTCAAGTATTGTTTTGTCGTAGAACATTTACTTTAATACTCAATAAACTATTCTTAAATAAATATTTTATAGATAAAACTAAAATATATTAGTGGTTGGTGAGGTGAATAACTATGTGTGTTTGCACAATATTTTCTTCTATGGAAATCTTTGCCTCCGGCACATTCCGCGTTCATGATACTATTATATATATTGTAAATTGAAAATAATTAACTACAATCCCTTAGATAGAGGGACTGCCCATCGTTTGATCTTTATACTCACGTGACTTCACTCTTTCTAATTTGTGATTGATTACGTTGCATCGCGGGAGATCGTACAATTCACGATTGTCACGCTCCATTGGCTGCTTTGTCGCCATAATTTTAACGATGGACACGGTAAGGGGCGTATGTTATCATGTTCAAGTTTTTTGCCCTTAATAACTCGAGCAATTTTCGTCGGATTGATTTCAAGGTTGCGCATGCGAGTATTCAGTTTAATTGGGATGTCAAGTATAAGTAACTATGATACGATGATTATTTTATGATATGGATTGCCAGGGGATAAAAAAAAGGTCGAAAGAGAGTTCGAAAAGCCACAGTCCCTCCACTATGATGTCAGTGTGTTTCCGACCTATCAATGATTCAAAACCACTCTGATGAGTAATCTTACCATTTGTTTTACATTCAACTGACAAATCAATCCTAATCGTCGATATACGGTAGGAAATATAGTTTCCATGAAAACCGTTATCGGTGGATTTTTTCTTTGCTCATTTTCAAACATACCACAATAAAGTTAACATTGTTATAAACAAAAACTAACTGTCAGCACATTTTTTCGTAATTTCAAATAGTTAGTAATGTCGTGGATAGTACTTCCGAAATAACTGTCTCCGAATTTGTGGTGGTTTTTTTCAAAGACACTAGTGTCATTGTTTTGTTTTTTTCTATCAGCCTCATATATTCGTATTGGGCATTTTTATAGAATAATATATCGACAGTGCTTACACGATAAATTAGTAATTCCTGGTTATTTCTAAGTATTGAGAGTTAAGGCATATTTTCATAGACTCTAGAATCTATGATATTTTATAATTCCATGATCGAAACATTAGTATTTTGTTTATAACATCATGTATAACAGAATGTATGCATAAATAATGAGGTACTCGCATATTGTTTGATGTGTTCAACTGATCTATTATTTGTTGTTGCCGGCGTTGAGTGAATGCACCCAGTATGTGTTTACATTTCACACATTCATGACGACAATATGGCAACCAATTTGACCGGGTCTAGTAAATATGATCTGATTTGTAGGCCAAGTCAACGTTTATGCTGAAGCACAACGGCACTACTGAACGTGGTGTTGCCATGGAATTCATCTCGGCGTGACCTAAAAAATAAGATAATGACAAAAAAATACTTAACCAAGTAATTGAGCGTACCGGGATGCAAGTTAGCAAAATAATAACTATGCATTTAAAATCATGTATTGATTCATCTTTATTCGACACTATATTTTACATTACATTTATTTCTTGACACAACAAAGACTTTGGAAAATATAGCAGTAAAGTCATTAACAACTATAATACAATAGAAAATATATCAGTAAAGTCATTAACAACTATAATACAATAGAAAATATAGCAGTAAAGTCATTAACAACTATAATACAATAGAAAATATAGCAGTAAAGTCATTAACAACTATAATACAATAGAAAATATAGCAGTAAAGTCATTAACAACTATAATACAATAGAAAATATAGCAGTAAAGTCATTAACAACTATAATACAATAGAAAATATAGCAGTAAAGTCATTAACAACTATAATACAATAGAAAATATAGCAGTAAAGTCATTAACAACTATAATACAATAGAAAATATAGCAGTAAAGTCATTAACAACTATAATACAATAGAAAATATAGCAGTAAAGTCATTAACAACTATAATACAATAGAAAAAAATGAATAACAATAAAGGTCATAAAACAAGTGCGCATACTCATTTTCAGCCAATCAGGCGTGCCGTAACAGCGAGTATTTCCTTGATTTACCCAGAACTCTGTGCGAATCCCCCTTGATTCTGGCTGCTGGCCATTTTCGTTCATGAAATCGTCGGATATCATCAGAAAACGCGGGATTTGTGCAGTTT